GGTTCTCTCCCCAGGGTTCTCTTCCCCAGAGTTCTCGTTCCCAGGGTTATCTTCTCCAGGGTTCTCTTCTCCAGGGTTCTCTTCCCCAGGGTTCTCCTTCCCCAGGGTTCTCTTTCCCAGGGTTATCTTCCCCAGGGTTCTCCTTCCCAGTGTTCTCTTTCCTAGGGTTTTCTTTCTCAGGGTTCCCTTTCCCTGGGTTCTCCTCCCCAGGCTTCTGCTTCCCAGGGTTCTCCTTTCCAGGGTTCTCCTTCCCTGGGTTCTCTTCCTCAGGATTCTCCTTCCCAGGGTTCACCTTCCCAGGGTTCTTTTCCCAAGGGTTCACCTTCTAGGGTTCTGCTTCCCGGGGTTCTAATTCAGGGGGTTCCTTCTCAAACCTAACAACTGTTTCTCATAGAAAACTTCGTTAACAGAGTAAGAAACCATTCCACGTTTTCTTTTATTAATTCTTACGTGGTTTTAGTTTAAAAAAGCGTCTGGTTTATATTACACAAAAATAACCAGCACATAGAAGAGAGGAGCTTACGACGACGTTTCGGACTGAAACGTCGTCGTAAGCTCCTCTTCCCTATGTGCGGGTTATTTGTGTATTGTTCCAGTCACGATATTGTGACTTTTTTTCTATATTATCTTAGGATATAATTGCCTCAGTGGAACGATAAAACAATACAACTCGGAGAGAATAATTCAGCTGCATTAAGTGTCCCGTGGCCTGGTAGGCAATGCGTTCACTTCACACACTGAGGGTCCGTGGTTCAATCCTAGGGCTGGTGGAAACATTGAGCGAGTTTCCTTACACCTGCTGTCCCCGTTCACCTTATCAGTAGGTACTTGGGTGTTAGTGGGCTGGTGTGGGTGGCATCCTGGGGACAAGATTGAAGGACCACAGAGGAAATAAGAGACAGTCCTCGATAACTCACTGACTTTCTCGGGTTATCCTGGATGGCTAACCCTCCGGGGTTACAACAACCTCTGGGGTTACAACAACCTCGAGGGTTACAACAACCTCCGGGGTTACAACAACCTCCAGGGTTACAACAACCTCTGGGGTTACAACAACCTCCAGGGTTACAACAACCTCCGGGGTTACAACAACCTCCGAGGTTACAACAACCTCCAGGGTTACAACAACCTCCAGGGTTACAACAACCTCCAGAGTTACAACAACCTCCGGGGTTACAACAACCTCCGAGGTTACAACAACCTCCGAGGTTACAACAACCTCCAGGGTTGCAACAACCTCCGGGGTTACAACAACCTCCAGGGTTACAACAACCTCCGGGGTTACAACAACCTCCGAGGTTACAACAACCTCCGGGGTTACAACAACCTCCGGGGTTACAACAACCTCCGAGGTTACAACAACCTCCGAGGTCACAACAACCTCCAGGGTTACAACAACCTCCGAGGTTACAACAACCTCCAGGGTTACAACAACCTCCGGGGTTACAACAACCTCCGAGGTTAAAACAACCTCCGAAGTTACAACAACCTCCAGGGTTACAACAACCTCCGGGGTTACAACAACCTCCGGGGTTACAACAACCTCCAGGGTTACAACAACCTCCGATGTTACAACAACCTACGCGGTTACAACGACCTCCGAGGTTACAACAACCTCCGATGTTACAACAACCTCCGGGGTTACAACAACCTCCGAGGTTACAACAACCTCCGCGGTTACAACAACCTCCGGGATTACAACAACCTCCGAGGTTACAACAACCCCCGAGGTTACAACAACCTCCAGGGTTACAACAACCTCCGATGTTACAACAACCTACTGGGTTACAACAACCTCCGAGGTTGCAACAACCTCAGGGGTTACAACAACATCCGGGGTTACAACAACCTCCGGGGTTACAACAACCTCCAGGGTTGCAACAACCTCCAGGATTACAACAACCTCCGGGGTTACAACAACCTCCGAGGTTACAACAACCTGCAGGGTTACAACAACCTCCGGGGTTACAACAACCTCCGAGGTTACAACAAACTCCAGGGTTACAACAACCTCCGGGGTTACAACAACCTCCGAGGTTACAACAACCTCCGAGGTTACGACAACCTCCGAGGTTACAACAACCTCCAGGGTTACAACAACCTCCGGGGTTACAACAACCTCCGAGGTTACAACAACCTCCGAAGTTACAACAACCTCCAGGGTTACAACAACCTCCGGGGTTACAACAACCTCCGAGGTTACAACAACCTCCGAGGTTACAACAACCTCCAGGGTTACAACAACCTCCGGGGTTACAACAACCTCCGAGGTTACAACGACCTCCGAAGTTACAACAACCTCCAGGGTTACAACAACCTACGGGGTTACAACAACCTACGGGGTTATAACAACCTACGGGGTTACAACAACCTCCGAGGTTACAACAATCTCAGGGGTTACAACAACCTCCGGGGTTACAACAACCTCCGAGGTTACAACAACCTCCGGGATTACAACAACCTCCGGGGTTACAACAACCTCCAGGGTTACAACAACCTCCGGGGTTACAACAACCTCCGAGGTTACAACAACCTCCGAGGTTACAACAACCTCCAGGGTTACAAAAACCTCCGGGGTTACAACAACCTCCGGGGTTACAACAACCTCCGAGGTTACAACAATCTCAGGGGTTACAACAACCTCCAGGGTTATAACAACCTCCGGGGTTGCAACAACCTCCAGGGTTACAACAACCACCGGGGTTACAACAACCTCCGGGGTTAAAAGAAACTCCGAACAAAATCTTATGTTTACCTGGAGAGGGTTTCGGGGGTCAACGCCCCCGCGGATCGGTCTGAAACCAGGCCTCATGGTGGATCAGGGTCTGATTAACCAGGCTGTTACTGCTGGCCGCACGCAAACTGGCGTACGAACCACAGCCCGGTTGGTCAGGTACTGACTTTAGGTACCTGTCCAGTGCCTTCTTGAAGACAGCCAGGGGTCTATTGGTAATCCCCATTATGTAAGCTGGGAGGCAGTTGAACAGTCTTGGGCCCCTGACACTTACTGTGTTGTCTCACAATGTACTCATGGCGCCCCTGATTTTGTGTACGAATGGTATATAATACCGACAAGATGAGAGTAAGACACATGTGCAACATCTGGGTATCTTTACAATAAAGATACCCAGATGTTGCACATGTGTCTTACTCTCGCCCCTGATTTTCATCGGGGGAATGTTGCATTTCCTGCCGAGTCTTTTACTTTCATAGGGAGTGATTTCCGTGTGCAAGTTTGGTACCAATCCCTCCAGGACCTTCTAATCTCTAACATTGTGCACTTGCAACCTTCCGCAGCTTCAGGGTCTTGACCAAGTTTGCACACCAGGCAGTAGTCATCCCAGATTTCCTCTATAACCTCCAAAACCAATAGAAAGTAGCTATCAGGTCTGTATATATAAACCATTAAATCTTTCACTCAGTTGAGGCACTGCCATTTACAACTATATTTCTAGATTCTGCTGTTAATAACAATTCTTTTGGCTTCGAGAGACGAACGCTCCATAGTAAAGGGTGTTAGATGCTAGAAGGCTTGTCATTCAGTCGATAGTGATCTCTGAGTGATGAGCCAGATGTTCCTCTCTAGCGACGTAACTCAAAACTGATTGTGACATTAGGGAAATCGTCAGGTGAAGAAGAGGTGTTTAACGCTGGTGAAGATTTCTTGATCAAGAGAAGCGAAGATAAGCTTCACTTCCTTTGATTAAACCTGACTACCCTCCATTTCCCAAGCGCTTTATGTCTCGCTACTGACGAATTCAGCTCTTCCACAAATAATAATAATAATAATAATAATAATAATAATAATAATAATAATAATAATAATAATAATAATAATAATAATAATAATAATAATAATAATAATAATAATAATAATAAATCATGACTTCCCTGTAAACAGAGTGAGGACTGTGTCACTGGGTAGGGCTACTAGTTTTTTCTAATGGTAAAAACAACCCCATGTGAAGAGAAGACACAAGACAGTTCACTCTATAGTCTGTATAAATTATCTTTTTATCATATTTCTCGGCAAGACTCACCATACAACGTAAACATTGAACGTGAACTGCGACTGTGGCAGGAACCTCACGACTTAACAGGGAACCTGGACGAAAGAATATATTGCAGAATTCTTCAGAGATTCTGAGAAAACAACTGTTCTATGAAGTGCAGCAGTAGTCGAAGCTTCAGATCTTCACTTACAACATAGACGACGAAATGAGGTATTGTGAAATACTTGAGAGCTTAGCTTTTATAATGAATTGCAAATCCCAGTAATGGGACGAACTTCAAAGCCATATTCTGAGGCATTCCAGGGGAATTTGAAATATTTTTTTTTCGTAAATCCCTACGTGTGTGGATTTTTCAAGGTCAGGAGGAGTAGTTGCGAGGTAAAGATTATGTGATCAGTACATCAACTTTGAAGTAGCTTATAAGGGAGTCAGTCCCACAGCCTGGAGAAGAACTGAACTCCAGACTATGAAAAAGTATTAATATGAGGAAGTGGAACAGAATTCTTCCTCCGTAAGCCATGCGTGTCGTAAGAGGCGACTAAAATGCTGGGAACAAAGGGCTAGTAACCTCTTCTCATGTATGCATACTAGAGTTAAAAAGAGAAACTTTTTGTTTTTGTTTTTGAGCCACCCTGCTTCGGTGGGATACGGCCGGATTGTTGAAAGAAGCGTTTCGTAAGTTCTCCTTGGAATTTCACTATTTTTTAATAGTGGTTGTTTTGCATATTGTGATATCACCTGTTTAACTTAGCTGTACACCGCATCATGCAAAGATGGAGAAAGGCAGGAGGATGAGGGAAGGGAGGATGTAGGTAAAAGAGGGAGTCTGACACAGACATGTAATATCAACAATTCGGGGAAACTCCAGTGATACACCACAATGACTCTCACTGCACCATTATCTGTGTCACGCCGGACGCTGGCATCCTGACTTACAGGATGCTTCACGCTCTCAGTAAGAAAGGCTTCCTTTGAATGAAACATTGAGCCACCAAACTAGAATCTGTGGCCTCATTGCCACACCAGAACAAAGCCCTGGACCCTCAGGGTGTCCGCTGAAATCCCTGTTACGTTAATGGACATATCTGGGTCCCTCAAACGAGTCGCTTGGGCTCACTTTATATTTAATCACAACTTTGGCTCTTCAAGACATCTCCTGGGAATACAACTAACTGCAAGCAGACACAGATGGGATTTTATCACAGTCGTTTAGTGAAGACATTGTTGGAAAAAATACTATCAAGATCTGTATCTCCATTCCGACGATATTAACTCCTTGTCTTGAACTTGTTTATAGAAGCCAAAACTATCCTCTCGAGTAAGTGAAAAATACTAAAATAGGTCAAAATTCCTTAATATATGAGGAAAGTGATAAACGAAGGTATCCGAAACAATTTGAATCATTACACCTAAGAAGAAAACATTGAATTTCTTGAAAGAAAAATTTTACTGTTAGGATAACCAATCCCGTACAAGAGCTATCTTCCAATGGCTCCTACAAAACAAAGATGCATCTCTACCAACTGTAGAACTATCTTTCTCTTCCTAACTCTAATCATACCTTCAGTATTGACACAGAAAGAAGAAATGGATGAAAGGGTTGAGTATAGTGGCGATGGTGAGGAAGATGGAGACATGGATGATGATGGTGATATATGGAGTGATGGGAACGAGAACAGTATAGCGGGCAACACCGCTAATCATACTTCCCTACCCAATACAGAGGCTGTTAACACCACTATAGCCAGCCACCCACATCCTCATGCGAGTGACTATACAACATCTCCACCCAAGCCACATCACTGCATCAAAAAAGCATCCTCCAAGGAATCAATGATCTGCGACTACTTTTCCAACACTGAGGTATGTTGTAGGCACATTGAACATGTGTTCATGCATTTTTAGTATAATAATAATAATAATAATAATAATAATAATAATAATAATAATAATAATAATTATTAATAATAATATATAATTAATAATAATCATAATAATAATAACATTATTATCATTATTATTATTATTATTATTATTATTATTATTATTATTATTATTTTTATTATTATTATTATTTTCATTATGACTGGCTGCTAGTCAAGTTCAAGGTTCAAGATTTGAGGTTTGAGGCTGTGGCCATCACATACAAATCTTGCCAGTATATCTGGCTGAATAATTCTTATGCCTCTCTCACAGTGTTGATAACAGTAGAACACTGCATATGAATCCCCGTCACTTTACTGAACTGTTTACGTTGGTCATTGGGAAATTCTCAGCACGCGTGCATATATAGTGTGCATTAAATTCCTGATAGAAGAATGTAACAATTCCGATGGAATAGTGGGATTTGACAACGTGATCTTAGCGGTCGAATGATTATCATTCTAATAAAGAAGTACATCTTGTTGGAGAGGTTTGTGCCAGTCACTCTTTCATCTAAACAGCTCATTAAACCAATGGTATTAATATATTATAGTAGGGTTTAACAAAGAAGTAAATCGTTGTTGGGAGAGGTTTGTGCCATCACTGCTTATGACTCTAAACAACCATGGAAGACCAATGGTTTTTTATATATGTATATATAGGGTTGTAAAGAAAAATTGCAAAGGTGTTCGGGAGAGGGGTGGAAGTAAATTTGGGAATCAAATACAAAATGGGAATTGACACAATTGCTTTTGCTGAAATATTGATTATGGGGAGAGTTCTGAAGAAGAAATTGCAAAGGTTAGTGGATGATTATGAAATGGTGTAAGTATGAAAGTTGAAAGTGAACATAGAATAGAGTATAGGTGATGAGATAAAAATGTTATTATGAGTAAAAGAAAAAATTAGGAGTACAACACTTATTGGGTGGAGAGCTATGGAGAAGTGAAGTTTTCTGATATTGAGGAGTTGGACGTGCAGGCGGATGATTTATAAGGATGAGGTTAATCATGAATTATGAAGGAAATCAGTGAGTGTGCAATTCAGGTAATAATGTGGAGATAAAAAAGTTATCTATGGAGTCAAAGAAGGGATTTGTATTAAAGTATAAGCAGTACCAACACCTTATATGGGTGTAAGCTGTTGGAATCTAGCAACGAGGAGGGGTTGGAGGCAGTGAGATGTCCGTCTAGGGGCAATGTGTGGTGTAAATATTATGCAGAATTTCGGAGTGTGGAAATTAGGAAAAGGTGTGGAGTTAATAAAAGCATTAGTCAGAGGGCTGAAGAGGGGTTGTTGAGATGGTTTGGTTATTTAGAGAGAATGAATCAAAGTAGAATGACATGGAGAGCGTATAAATCTATAGGGGAAGGAAGGCGGGGTAGGGGTCGTCCTCGAAAAGGTTGTAGGGAGGGGGTAAAGGAGGTTTTGTGGGGGAGGGGTTTGGACTTCCAGCAAGCGTGCATGAGCGTGTTAGATAGGAATGAATGGAGACGAATGGCACTTGGGACCTGACGAGCTGTTGGAGTATGAGCAGGGTAATATTTAGTGAAGGGATTCAGGGAAACCGGTTATTTTTATATAGCCAGACTTGAGTCCTAGAAATGGGAAGTACAATGCCTGCACTTTAAAGGAAGGGTTTGGGATATTGGCAGTTTGGAGGGATATGTTGTGTATCTTTATACGTATATGCTTCTAAACTGTTGTATTCTGAGCACCTCTGCAAAAACAGTGATAATGTGTGAGTGTGGTGAAAGTGCTGAATGATGATGAAAGTATTTTCTTTTTGGGAATTTTCTTTTTTTTGGGTCACCCTGCCTCGGTGGGAGACGGCCGACTTGTTAAGATATACATTCATACATACATACATATATATATATATATCTACCCACACTGGACAATACCTTGGCGTGCAACTTGCGTTACACGTTGATCCAAGGCAGCCAGCTTTCAGGGAGAAGCCTTCTCCCTGAAAGCTGGCTGCCTTGGATCAACGTGTAACGCAAGTTGCACGCCAAGGTATTGTCCAGTGTGGGTAGATTGGTAAAGCACTGCGTACCTTGTGCCAAGGTTCGTAGGTTCGAGTCTCCTTCAGCCAGAGATCAGTGTTTGTGTATATTTCGCCTGCTCTTGCGAATTCCTTGTATATATATTTTATATATATATATATATATAATATATATATATATATATATATATATATTTATGTATATATATAATATATATATATATATATATATATATATATATATATATATATATATATTTATATATATATATATATATATATATATATATATATATATATATATTCTAATCATTTAATAAAACACCCCTCTCTACGTTCTTTAATTGCAGGATGTGGTTAAAGCTCCTACGCATTTAGCAGAACATGGAATTAAGAACTTGGAAATTATAGGGGCTAGCATCCTGCACTTTCATCCACTGTGCTTAAGTGAAATCCGTTTCACAAGCTGTAGCAAAATCAACCATATTGACTATGGTCCTGCCAGCGGATGCCATCCCTTGTCAAAGATGTCAATTCACAACTCATCTGTGGAGAAGCTGACTGGTAGTTTCCAAGAAGTTGAAATATTTGACAGTCATATACGCAGTTTATCAGTGGCTTCTGTCTCCGACGATGAGGAGGCAGAAAGACCGGTGCTGTTAAGCAACGTGACCATCAAAAATCTTCATGGTTTTGTTATTCAAGGCTCAAGTTTCCTTAAGATGAGCCACTCCAGGATAGATATAGTCTATGGAAATCTGATGCTGAATTCTTCCAGAAATATCTTGAATGCTATAATTGCTTCAGACTTGTCAGTGGTACACGCTAAAGGATTCTCAGTGATTGACGGTCATCTCTTGATAGAAAACAGCACGATTCATGACCTTGATTCGGGTGGAATCATAATATCTGGTCATGGGCTGTTGATTTTAAAGAACGTGGTGCTGAAAAAGGCTCACACTAACGGACTGGTGTTAATGGTAGGTGGGAGAGTGATCTTCGATAACGTAACCGCCAACAACATTAACATTAAGAAGAAGGAATTCGACTCGATGGGCGGCCAAGTATACATTCTTCGCGTGTCTGCTGCGGCCAAACACAGCTTCTTGACAACGCCTCTGGGAATCTTCATTATTACAGTCTTGGCTATTCTGACTATTGTTTGTTTGTGTTGTATTACCGCTATAGTAATCTTGCGAAGGAGGAATTACATTTTTTATGCCATTTAAAGTAGATTAGACAGTGTCTAGACTCTATTCTAGCCACTGATTACGCTAGCCGCTAAAGTAATCAGTTAATATTCTATTTAGAGTCTTACAGCGATTGGGGAGATATCAAAGGTTCATTCCGTGGAAGGGAAGATTATTCCCGAATCCCTGGATCAAGAGCCTTTCCCCACCATCAAAGCAGTGCCCTAAAGGAGTGATGCGTAAATACATATTCAGTTTTCACTGCAATGATTCACTGTGAATTTTTAAGTTATTAGAGAGAAGCATGATAAGTGTGAAGGGAATAATTGTGTTCTTGTCTTGCTCTAAGCAGTCGGAGGTTCGAGCCTCCACAGCTCATTCTTCTGAATGACCCAGACGGGTTTATCGTTTGGTTTAAATAATCATTGTGGGCTACTATATATATATATATATATATATATATATATATATATATATACATATATATATATATATATATATATATAAATATATATATATATATATATATATATATATATATATACATATATATATAATATATATATATATATATATATATATATATATATATATATATATATATATATATAAATATAATATATATAATATATATATATATATAATATATATATATATATATATTATATATATATATATATATATATTATATATATATATATATATATATATATATATATATAAATATATATATATATATATATATATATATATATATATATAATATATATATTATATAATATATATATATATATATATATATATATATATATATATATATATATATATATATATATATATATATATATATATATATATATATATATATATATATATATAACTGTTTTGTATTTTTTTATTTCATGTTTGATTGAATGTAATCAAAGAATTACTTACCGAAATGCTATCACGAGAATGTCATAATAATTTTTATCAAAGTAATGGCTATTAAAATGTTATCAGAGAAAATTTAAATAATTAATATCAAAATAATATTTAAGGAAATGTAATCAAAGAACATTTTAATTAAATATTTCTAAAATTACTAAATATTCCAATAGCTTCTACATATAAAGTTAATTATGGCTCCTTGCTTAAGCAGATAAATTACGCTAAGCATCACAGATGTTACAAACATTAAAATTTTTAAGTGTGTTTTTATTTTCTCTCTGTTATGAGGCTGCCTGGAAAAAGTGTTTTATCAATAACAGTAAGTGTTGTATTAACAACAAGTGTTGTATTAACAACAAGTGTTGTATTAACAACAAGTGTTGTATTAACAACAAGTGTTGTATTAACAACAAGTGTTGTATTAAAAACAAGTGTTGTATTAACAACAAGTGTTGTTATTAACAACAAGTGTTGTATTAACAACAAGTGTTGTATTAACAACAAGTGTTGTATTAAAAACAAGTGTTGTATTAACAACAAGTGTTGTATTAACAACAAGTGTTGTATTAACAACAAGTGTTGTATTAACAACAACAAGTGTTGTATTAACAACAAATGTTGTATTAACAACAACAAGTGTTATATTAACAACAACAAGTGTTGCATCAACAGCAACAAGTGTTATATTAACAACAAGTGTTGTATTAACAACAAGTGTTGTATTAACAACAAGTGTTGTATTAACAACAAGTGTTATATTAACAACAACAAGTGTTATATTAACAACAAGTGTTGTATTAACAACAAGTGTTGTATTAACAACAAGTGTTGTATTAACAACAAGTGTTGTATTAACAACAAGTGTTGTATTAACAACGACAAGTGTTGTATTAACAACAACAAGTGTTGTATTAACAACAAGTGTTGTATCAATATCAACAAGTGTTATATTAACAACAACAAGTGTTGTATTAACAGCAAGTGTTGTATTAACAACAACAAGTGTTGTATTAACAACAAGTGTTGTATTAGCAACAACAAGTTTTGTATTAACAACAAGAAGTGTTGTATTAACAACAAGTGTTGTATTAACAGCAAGTGTTGTATTAACAACAACAAGTGTTGTATTAGCAACAAGTGTTGTATTAGCAACAACATGTGATGTATTAACAACAAGTGTTCTATTAACAACAACAAGTGTTGTATTAACACCAACAAGTTTTGTATTAACAACAGCAAGTGTTGTATTAACAGCAAGTGTTGTATCATTAGCAACAAGTGTTATATTAACAACAAGTGTTGTATTAACAACAAGTGTTGTATTAACAGCAAGTGTTGCATTAACAACAAGTGTTGTATTAACGACAACAAGTATTGTATTAACAACAAGTGTTGTATCAACAGCAACAAGTGTTGTATTAACAGCAAGTGTTGTATTAAAAACAAGTGCTCTATTAACAACAACAAGTGTTGTATTAACAACAACAAGTGTTGTATTAACAACAAGTGTTGTATTAACAACAACTAGTATTGTGTTAGGAACAAAGTGTTGTATTAACAACAGTGTTGTATTAACAACAAGCGTAATATTAACAACAACAAATGCAGCATTAACTAAAACAAGCGTTGTATTGACAACTAAGTATTGCATTAAAATAGTGTTGTATTATCAACATGGTCATGTATTAACAACAACAAATGTTGTATTAACAACAAAGTGTTGTATTAACAAGAAAGTGTTGTATTAAAAATATAGTTGTTAACAATTGTTGTATTAACAAGTGTTGTATTAACAAGTGTTGTATTAACAAGTGTTGTATTAACAAGTGTTGTATTAACAGGTGTTGTATTAACAACAACAAGTGTTGCATTAACAACTAAGTATTGTATTAAAAATAAGTGTTGTATTATCAACAAAACCATGTATTAAGAACAACAAATGTTGTATTAACAACAGTGTTGTATTAAAAACAATGCCAAATTAAATAATGGGAACAAGTATTTACTACTTTCTAATTTACCATTATCTAAAATATTAGAAAAAATAACCCAGTAATTAACGTACTTTAGCTTAACATCATTGCCAGGATATATACACTGAGAGGTGTATGTCTTTCATCACATATACACTGAGATGTGTCTCAGTGCATATACACTGAGAGGTGTATGTCTCTCAGTGTATATACGCTAATAGTTTGTTTACATTAATCAGTATTATAGGTATTAAAGTAATTTTGACTGGTGGTGTACAGGTGACATGCAGCCTTAATGACCCTCGTGTAGTAGATAGACAAATTTTAAACCTCATTAACCAACCAACCAGTCTTAAATAGGTTATCCTGGGATACTAAATCTCTTGGTTTATAAACCATACCCCGGCCGGGATTGAACCCGCAGTCAGAGAGTCTCAAAACTCCAGACCGTCGCGTTAGCCAC